AATTGTAAACCATCGGTTCGCCTCTAAGTTGTTGTGTTACAAGATACCAGCCCAGTTTCCCGTTTTAAATTACCTCGAAGGACAACGCTCATTGTATACGATTGTGGTTAGGCAAGTCTTTCCAGCCAAGGAAAATGTTTGTAATTATAACATTTGTTGTGAATGGCCAAGCAAAATATCTAGGTGAACGATAAAAGGGAGTCAGTCGGAAGGACAGTGAGTGAGCGGTGTGCCGTGACGACGGGGTGCTATAACGGGTGCTTACTAAAGGTTTACAGCCATAGGATCCGCATTGACATTTCTCTTAGTTTTTTAATAGTGTTCATTTGTATTTAAAATTGTCTTCAGTATGCCTACTTTACATAAACTATCTTTACTCGTCAAACTACTCATATAATGTCCCATTGCTGCAATTGATCAAGCACATCAGCATATCTGCGAAGAGTCGGATGGCAATGAAGCCATAGACGGTGGTCGCCCCCCTTGTACTTGGCAAGCTTCAATGTGCGTCCTGTTTCACGCACAAACCCATCAATTAATATTATTTACAGATCCAGGAAAATTTTATGATTAAAATAATAGAGTCGCTGGAATTTCATCCCCATGGAATTATCCCCCAGAGCAGAGCGGACGTCACTATGACGTAGTAACCTGAGCGCTCTCTATTTTGTTCGCCGGCGGAATTTTATCCCCGTTGATTTGGGAGTCTAATGAAAACAGATAGAGCGTGAATTTGGAATTTTACCCTCTGCCCATATAATCTTTAATTTTAGACAATTGTAGATGTAAATGGAAATATACCATCGGAATTTTACTGCCAGAAATCTACCCCCTCGCCAGGTATAGAGATTAGTGAGAATAATTAATTCTGTACATAATGGGCGTTTTCAGAGAAAGGCGTTTAGACAGTAAATATTATTTATCACTGTTTTTGTGAATGTTGTAGGTTGTAAGCAAATTAAACGTGTAAACAAAATTTCAAAATCATTCAATACATGTACACATTGTTGTTTTCCTACAGTTTTCGTGAAAAATGTCAACAAAAACTATTGTCATATCCTCAACACTCTGAAAACTGAATTTGCCCACAAATTGTTATTTAAACAGTGGTAAAGAATTATAGTTGTCTGTTTAAACGTCCTTCTCTAAAAAACAATGTTAATTATTCTCACCTAATTCTATATCTGGCCAGGAAGCAAAATTCTGGGGCTAAAAATCCTTGGGGGGGGGGTAAAAATCCGGGCCGTACATTTTGAGCTAAACTCATAAGGGGGAAAAAGTCCGGGTGTAAAATTCCGGCCCGCACACTCTAGGTTTTATCACTTGAATTGTTCTGATTAAATTCAAACCGTTAAAGGATACGTTTAATTCCACCAATTTATTAATTACGTGTTGTGCAACTATACGAAGAAAAGACTATGCCGTTTTCTCAAAGATACGTAGTGACAGAATTTGTTTGGCGAGACAAACAAGATGACTAATGCGCTTTCCATCATTGGAAAGCCAAATTATTACTTAACGCTTTTATAATTGCTATTGCTATTTATAAATAATCTAAGACTACGGCTTGTTCCTAGGATGACTTATTCATATGACATCCATTCATCTCTCACATCCCACAAGAAAGACACTTTGAAACAACAATTGCTAATCTACTCGAGAATAAATTCTAAGCTGAAAAGCATTATAAATAATAGTTGTTTTATTCATGGAGGATAACCTAAGTATCGTCCCAAGTCCAGTGAATTATAAATTTAGAACGTAGGCTTCCTGATGGAAAACGGCCATTTAGGTTTTAAATAGCGATTGTTTGGCGTCGTCTCTCCAAGTACTTCTCGTAAAAAAACCAGCAACACGGCAGACGGCAGACACGTGCACGGGCCTGGCCTGGTGTTTTGATGTGTTACATTCCCCCATTACAGGTCACTGGGGATCGTAGCACATGTAAACAATGACTTGACTGCGACTGCGAGAAGAAGTAGGTATTGTCTGTATACAGCACGTATGTTGATAATCACTTCAGTAAATGTGTTCCTAGAGGACTGTGGAGTGCGGTGGATCGAAATGTGAACGTGGTGTTAACAAGCGTTTGTAATGTTAATTGGTTGGATTGTTGGTGCAGGAGTAGGAGTAGGCATAAGCCGCGCCTGTGGTTTAACTTCAACAGACTTTGGACCGCGTGCAACACTCACGCTACGGTTACCTCTCAAAACTCTGCCTCAATTACCAATTACCAGCACGTAGCTCCAGCTCGTTGATCTGTCCCAATGCATCGTGCAACGTGCTGCGGGGAGGGAAGTCATTCCCCTCATTGCAGTCCGCAGTCGCATTGCCATTGCACTTCCTTCCCTTTCCCCAATCACTCGTCTCTAGCCTCATCCAGTTCCAATCAGTCACGTTCCAATCCGAGAAGAGGGGACCGCGGGAACGTAATTCATTCAATAGTGAAAGTAACAGGTACATGCGCGGAACGGTTACCTGGGGTATCAGTGACCGGTGCGGCGCCTGTGCCTGTGATAACCTTCGCGCTACAGTCGTGACCTTTGGTGCTCGTGCTGCTGCCGTTAATGTTAATGTAATATAATGTAACGCCGCGCCGCGCCGACCGGTTGGATCACGAGGGAGCGCACAGCCCTCGGCGATGCCTCCGATTGCTTTGTAGTAGTCGGTAATTTCACACTGTAATTTATTGTGCCTGGTTGTCTCGTTGTTTATTTAACACATTCCTCCCTTTTCTTTCTTAGGTGCATAATTAAACTCATATGCCTTATTTATCTTCATTATTATTGCTTCTTTTTGTTGAGTTGCACTAATGGTAGTGAGGGATACAAGAGATTTGGGACATGCCCGCTTTCTTCTAGTAGGAAACCTATGTTTTGAAGGATTTGGCTGGTTTGAATGGAAGTTAAATCCTCAGATATTTCGGCTGTTATTTACGTAAATGTGACTCGAGGACTACATACAAAACTGTGATGAGGTTGTTGAATGTACAGAGGGCCTTGTTAAGGTTGAAGAAATCACACGGACATGTTTATTTGCAGGACTTTTATAGGTGTTAAAATACGAATTCAGTATGGGTCACAATATTGATAAGGAGTCTCGAGTATCATGTAATATGGAAACAAACATGTTGGCATCCTCTGTTGCAGGTTGCATTTATATTTAGCGTTGACATGCAAGCAGTAAAGTTGAACTTGTTTTCTGAAAGTTTGCAAATGGTTTTACCCCAGTCCAGTGCCTCATAGCTGGTGCTGGACGGTGGGTCTCTATCGGTGTTGCGAGCACGGTAATGTTGCGTTGACCGTTAGCGTAGTTACTATGGTGTGAATCTACTCAAATATAACGGCATCGCTTTGCCTGGGACGACGAGTTTCTTGCCGTTATTTCATCCCTGAAAGAGGTTAAAAGCATTCTTACCTGTTTCATTTGTAAACATCTTAAGAGCATTCTCTCAAAAATATTCTAATGTGACTTTTTGTTGAAATGTTAAATTTTTATATAATTTTGTCTAGTATCTCTTACAAGCCCCAATCAGTTGACTACCACAGTCACCAGTAGTAGCCTAGTCTACTGTCAACTAGAGCATTGTTTGTCAATCTCAGCCTTGGCATACTTAACACCTCTGCGCGCCTTCCTACATTAACATAAGTTACACTCTGAGTATTTAAACTTCAGTAAACATAGAATTTCATTCTCTCGAAATTGTTCACGTGAAAACTAAATGCTTTGTCTGTGTAATCAACAACTTGTAGAGTTTACTCCTCCATGTGTCATCTATATACAGCGTGTCCCCGAACCCTCTACCGAACTTTTAAAGTGAAGATTTCTGGACTAAAGACAAACTAAATATCAAGTTAAAAATATCAAAAACTCAAAAGTAGGTAGGGCCTATGCTGTTAAGCCACAATTTTGTTTTATCGCGACATTTTTTATTAGATGGCGTTTTTTGTAGTATCTTGAAATTTCATGCATAGATTAATACCGTCCTATAGACTGTACTGCCAGCTGCTGTCTCTTGCATTGAAAAATACTTCAAGGAATATTAGATAATTAATATAGAATAAATTATTTTCAAGATGGTGTTGTAAAATGAGTCTTGTATTGAGAACAATGTTTTGATAATCACAATAGTAAAAACATCATGAATAATGAATATTTTAAATAACATATGATTGATGAGGAATGCAAATAGAAAATATATAACACCCCCCTGTCAACTTATCTGGATGGTGTTGCGTAATGATGAATATTGGGGCTTCTACAATCAATGGATGGAAGTAGGCCTCAGTGCTAGGCTTAGTCTGACCAACTCTAAAAAATATTTGAATAGATTTACCCTAAGACTGAGAAGTCTTAGAAAATAAGTTTTGATGTTAAAAGTACCGGGTTTAAATTTTATAGGAACATATGTTGTAATGGAGTATATTGTATAACAAGACTTATTTTTCAAAATACATAAATAAAATGTAAAATTTATAGGTTAAGAATACTATTAATTGATTCTGCTTATTGGCTGTTGAGGCAAGGAACAGGTGCAGTGATAGTTTGTGTTGTCTCCTATTAAAATCAACAGATTTTTAATAACTCACACAATTTACATTCAAACTGTGTTTTCGTGAGAGAAAAATAACATATTGAGTTGAGTTAAATAAATAATTTCTACAAAATTGGTTTTATCTGGGTGAGGTTTAATACTAGAATACTCAGGCAATTCCTTTAGTAAAACAAACTCATGGTACAACACTTTGACCTCAATACCTCCCTCATCTAGTGTGAATTACCTTTCCTAAAAAACACTGATATTCTATGTGTGCATGTGACTTTGATATATCATCCATTGTGCCAAGTATTCTGCCTACATTTTGATTTATTATAATAAATCAAATATAAAATTTAATGACAAGGTACAATATCACATGTTATGAAGTTTAACTCTAACACAGAATATGGTGTTTATTAAACTTGTTTACATTTTATTCATGATTATTGTAATGTTTCAGATTTACAACTAGCAGCAGAGTTGGGGAAAACTCTTCTTGAAAGAAACAAGGAACTTGAGACTGCTCTGAAACAGCATCAGAATGTCATTGAGGAGCAAACCCAGGAAATTGAGGTAACCTTCAGCTGTGAGAAGCTTTTTAATTTTATCACACATACTTTTCTTTTTTGTCCTAGGACACTAGGCACGAGCCTGGGATTGTTTTTCACATTACTTCAGGCTAGACCTAGGAGTTGCGGCATTATCACATAGATAAAAACCATTGGTGATCTGGCGGGATTTGGACCCGGGACCTCTGGACCGAAGTCCCGCGCTCTAACCACTAGACCAGATCGCTCCCCCCAAATCTCACTTACTAGATTTATAATAAGTAAATCACTTTCTGTTGTCATGTTCTCCCTTGGTCATTTTACCTATGTTAGGGCTAACATAAAAAATGGCGTTACATAAAAAATGTTGCATTTTTGGATCTGGAGGATATTCCAAGAATTTAAATGGCTATTAAACCATTCCTTGCTAAAACAACTTATCAGTGTGCCATTTTCAATTAAATCCAAATTCTTCTAATAAAATTGATCAACAGAATCTATATCTTGTGGTAGGTTTGTATTTTGGGTAAGGAAATTAATCTCACTTGCAACTTCAGAATGGAAGTTCTCCTGTCATCTGCCAGTCATAAGAGTATTAACATTTCTATATTAACAGCAATTCATTCAAATCAAATAAAATCAAGCAAATCTTTATTGTCATTTGGCATAACAAACATGCAATAGACATACAAAATATTTGGTAACAGGGTTACACAGTAACCCAATTAAGATTAGATTAATGAGCTAGGCCTAATACCACAGACATGAAAAGGTAATAGTTTAAACATATAAAAAGCAAACCAGTATAAAAGTGCACATTATGAAATTAAAAAGTAACATTAAAAAGTAAACATTATGGTGGTTATTGTAATGATTGGTATTTTAAATGTGATTAAACCACTTGCAGCATGCAACCTTTCCTATTCTACCTCCATATGCACTACCTACACTGTCACTAATTTTTCAAGTGAATTACTCAACTTGACTTGCTGTAACGCCTGTGTTGTAATGTTGGCAGTACCTGACCAAGCAGACGGCAGCGCTGAGGGAGGTTAACGACTCTAGACTCAGGATTTACGAGCAGCTCGAAGTCAGCATCCAGGAGCTGGAGCACACCAATCAGAAACTCTCTGTTGACAACATATCAGACAAGAAACTCATTAAGACGTGAGTGTGGACGTTCTTTAACAAATTCCAAGTTGACATGTTTAACAATTAATTGATCAGCCTTTTATTACTCAATACAAAGAGTAAGAGTACAAAGAGTTGTTAAGTTTAAACAATTTAAGAGGGTAATGGTAACCTAGGGCTTGATTCATAATGGAATGGTGTTCTGGATGATTAAAAACCCTTAAAAACTTGAATAAGTATTCTATACAAGAAATTTAATACATTGCTCGTAGATTTTGCCATATTTGACGTATTGTAAACCCTTAAGTGAGTTTGTCTCTCCTAAGAGGTTTGTCAGAAATTCTTCAAAACATTATGCAAACATAAAAACGACAGCAAAACTATGTAATGCATGTTTCTGTATACATTTAGATTGGGCAACGATGAAAACAGCTGATTTAAATCATAAAAAACCTATCAAAACAATAGCACGTGTAGTGGATAAATGGAGAACTAATTGTGAGCAAGGAAAAGTAAATTTAAAGCAAGGGAAAATCAGCTGATAGTTTTTCCCTCGCTCTAAATTAGAGGTTGGGAAACGGCTACTTTCTTTGATATCAGCCGTTATAAAAAAATAGTTACTTTCGGTAAGGAGTGATAAAAAACATTTTTATGTACACACTTTTTATTTTATTCCAAAACGTTCCCTACTTCCTGACAGCCCTCGTAATGGAACATTCATATACAGTAGACTCCCTCCTATCTGGACTCCTAGGGACAGAGGCCAGTCTGGATAACTGGTTTTTCGGTTGAACTGACGTCCCCAAAAACTTGTTAAAATGAAACGGACCATATAAATGCATACCGTATACAGTATTTGACTTAAATTTAGGAGAGCATTCTATTTAGACACATAATCACTGTTCTCAAATCTTTCCCACGAGAACAGTCATTTCATTACCGCCCACTTCCTGCTGATCTAGTCCGGTTAAACCGATGTGCTGATAAAATTGTCCAGGTAAAGAGATTTCATTTCCGCCGAGTGTAGTCCGGTTAAACCGATGTCCAGATAAGAGGGAGTCTACTGTACAAAAATAAGTAATATTTTACTTATAGAAAGTTCAAAACGTCAAAATTGTAGGTTGGATCTAAACCCACGAGTGGCTTTACCCACTGAGGATGCCAAAAAGTACTTGACATTTTCTACAGGTGAAAGTCTCTCAGTCTCAGTGATGCCAAGTGGAGAGTCCTCTTGACCCCTATCTTATCTTCCTGTTTTTGAAGGGACATACATTAAATAACGATTGTTATTAAACACTTTCTGTGTTTTCAGTAAACCACCATTATTGGTTTTAATTATAAATAAACATACATAGTACAGTGTCAAAGTGCTCTTGTATTGAAACAAAACCCAACCTCAGTGTAAGTCATGCCTAATCCCACTAAAGATGTAATTTCCTCCTTCTTCCTTGTATTTCCTGTTATCCAACTCGCTATATTACCCATGGGGACAAATATCTTATCATTATGAATATTAATTTTCTAAATTATACCTTATTTTCAGTTTAACTTCACAAATAGAATCACTTGAACTAAGATGCGAGGATCTACAAAAGTCAGTGGACGAGATGGCAGTAGCACAGGAGAGTGCCCGACGGAGACAGCGCAGGTCTATCTGTACCCCGGACACACCAGTCCCCGCCACCACCCCCGCACTGCCACTCCCTGCCGTACCCGCCCCCGCCCCCGCTGATGACGAGGAGCTGCTGCAGTTGCTACAGCAGGTACAGGAGCTACGCAGTCAGCGGGCGCGGGACCAGCGGAGAGTGGCTGACCTGGAGGATCAGATGACTCAACTGATACAGGTACATTAGATATACGGTATGTTATTCACTAAGCCTGGTTTTATGCAAGGCGACACACAGCAGTTGTGGCAGTTTCTAGTCCTACTGAGTTAAATAGGAGCATTTATGCACAAAGACGGTAAAACTTCGCACCGGCGGTGTTCTCTAGAAAACTGGCAACAGTTTTAGCAAACGCCTTTTCAAAAGTGTCACTCGTTCTATCTAAATTCATTGAATCAAATGAGTGTGTTTATACAGAGCTACTCGGGACCCATGTTCTAGGAATTGGAGACAGGTTGTGAGTAGAAATTGTCAGTTATCTATTCATCACATATACACATATAAATACAACGATGATTGTTGTTGTGGCTTTACTGAGTTTACATTGGTAGTTGGCCACACCACACTTATACAGTGTACGGTACAAAATATCAAAACCCAGTCCCATGATGAATGTAGGATTTTATGATCTTTTAACTCATCAAATAGCATATGAAACACTCCTCTCTGAAATTGGAATGTACTGATAGAATGAATAGACCAATACATTTTTAGCGGGTTTTTACAAATTATATCGTAGACAATATACATCACAATAGGGCCATATTTAAATTAAAACTGCACAGTAAATTAATAAATTACCACAATAAATTCTGATCTCTTATCCCCCCAACACCGTTAGTTTTAAGCGGGAAATGTCACTGTAGCGTCCCCAATTCGGTCAGTTGCCAGACAAGCGGTGTATTATGCTTTTGTACATTCATTTATATCATACGGAATTAGTGTGTACGGAGGGACCTCAAAATGAAACCTTAATCAAATAGTTCTGTTACAAAAGATATCTACTAGATTAATGCTAAGTTTAAATTGGATTGAAAGTGTAAAGTATCATTTTTCTAATTTGGAAATCTTAACAGTGTTTGGAATTTATATATACGAGACAATAAAATATACTAAGCAGCTGCATTTACCAAAAATACAGTTAGAACTGTAATAGATATAATACCAGAAATGCACAATAAATTATACAAAACAGACATAATTTAGAATTTTATAAAAAAAAAAACACAGCGTATAGAGGCCTTAGATATATAAATTTTTTACCAAAAGATATAAAAAATGAATGTAATAGTAGGAAATTTTACTTTAAACTAAAAAAATTCTTAGCAGAAAAAGCAATTTACTCCTTTGAGGAATTTTACAATTTAAAATATTGTGAATGGACAATAAGTACTCACTGACTCTATTTTTTGTACTTGTACATTCATGAATAAAGGAGTTTTTGAATAAAGGAGAATAAAGCGGGGACTGGCGCAGGCTGCGTGTTGCCATGCATAAAACCAGTCATAGTCATAGTCATAGTCAAGAATCTTTATTCATAGTATACATAGTTGTACATGAATAGTGTCAAATAAGTTAAAACTAATGCTTAAAACTATGATAAAGCCATTTTCAATTAGTCTAAAGAGTACAAGGACAGGTCCATTAAATATTCCTTGAGACGTTTTTTTTAAAATGTTGGGTTTTTGTTCTGTTTTAATTTTAAAAGGAATAAATTTTAAAAATTCATGTTCTGCATTGACAGTCTTTTTTTTGAAGAGCTCTAATTTATGTTGTCCAATTACAAAATTATTTTTGTTACATGTAGTTATGATTATTTTCTTTAATTGGTGGATTGAAATTTTTTTTTTTGACAAACATAATACATTCAAGAACATACAAACCATAAACAGTGAGGATCCTTAAACGTTTAAAGTGTTCTTTTGCAGAATCATCTTTGTTCATTTTTAACATAGCTCTGATTGATTGCTTTTGTATTGTCAAAATTTGGTCTAGATTTGAATTTGAGGTGGCTCCATATACGAATATGCCATAAGATATATGGGATTGAATATGGGAAAAATAAATCATTTTTAAAACTTCAATACTGCATAGTTTTGACATTTTTCTAATCGCACAAAGACCGGAATTTATTTTATTGATAACAAGTTTACAATGTTTGTCCCAAGACAAGTTGCTGTCCAATGTCAGGCCAAGGAACCTTTCACAATGTTGCTTCTGTTATTTCAATTGGTTGGTTATTTACTTCAATATTAGGATTGGAATTGTTTTTGTTTTGTTTTGTTTTGAATGTGACACATTTGGTTTTACTTTCATTTAATTTTAAATTGTGAGTATTAAAAAATCCTCTATACAAGCTATTTCTATTGTGGACAGCAACTCAACATCTTCTGCAGTTTTCCCAGATACTTTAAGATAAGAGTCATCTGCATAAAGATACAAACCTGTACATGGGGCAAAATTTAGACACTTTTAAAAATTTGTTAAGTAACAAATGAAAAGTAAAGGTCCCAGGACCAATTCTTGAGGTACACCAGATCTTATTGTGCCCATATTTAAACTGTATTTAGATTTATAATTGTCTTTAGTGATGTGAGTCATTTCAACAATCTGTTTTCTATTTGATAAGTATGATTTAAACCAATTAAGAGAGTTATACCTGATTCCAATTTTTTCTAATTTAAAAAGTAATAGTTCATGATTAACGCTATCAAACGCCTTCGATAAATCCATGAACACTCCCAACACGTGCTCACCCTTGTCAATTGACTCAATGACTGATTCGAAAAGGCTAACAATCGCTGTAATAGTGGACTTATCTTTCCTAAATCCGTGTTGGATGTCTTCTAGGATTGAATTTTCTTCTAAGAACGCAGTTAATTGCTAAACTGACTCAGTATACGAGTCCTTGTTGTATATCTGAGCAGGTGAGTCGTATTTGAAGCAGTCATTATTTCTTATTTCCTTTGTACATTTGCTGGTTGTTCAGCTAAAGAAAGAATCAAAATGCTGATGAGATTTCAGCATAAAACTTTAAGGTTTGTGTATGGATAAAAAAATATATCAGTGAGTCAACACAACACATTCACAACTTATTGACAACACATTCACTGTCCTACTGTCCATAAACCTTGTGGACTGTGGCTTAGGTCTAGCTGACATTTTGGTTCATTCTAGCATTTCTGAGTGATATTCATATTATTTCAGCAATTTTTACGAGTTAGTTAGAGTAAAATTCTAACCCTCAAAATATTGATTGTAAGACCAATGGCTCATATTACTGAAAAAGTGTTTTGAGTTCATTCATTTGGTATTTATCAACATATCATAAGATTAAACATCATTATGGAGTCTATTGATACAACATGTTTATCAAACTATTTGATTAATTAACTTTTTCAACCTTTTATACTAAATGATTACTGAAGGTGTGAAGTGGTTGGATTTTAGCAAATTCCCCCTATAGGGATAAGAAGGTGTGTTACTGTAGGTGGTGGCACGGTAAGGAGACTCAGGACTATTTTACTTTTACGTTTTGATCTCCTCAGAGACTAAAATTAACATCCTTTCAAATTCATGTATGGCTATTTTATATATAACATTTGTGTATGATATATCATTTCAATTAAAACCCACACTTCCCTGTAGCAGTAAACGTAAGTATTCAGAAAACTTATTGTTATTCAATAGGGAATGGAACTGAACTGAACATTTCTAGGAAATATTATAGTGAAAAATCTAACTAGTCAATAGGAAATTTGATTAGGTTGCATATTTAATGTGGTGGGGGTATTAGTTAGTACATCTCTCCAAGAGAGAAAATCAATTAGTATTGTTATTACTAACCTGTTAATGTTGAATAGTTAACAAATGTGTGCTAGCTGTGGTAAAAGATGGCCAATCCCTCCATTACACATTTTACTCATAATGCATTATGTCAGATAACACACATTACTTACATGACACATAGAAGCAAGGTCATGATATTATCTAAGATGACTCATCATTCTATTTCAGTTAATTAATTAATTCATATTTTTGTTTGCTGTGTATCTAAACAATTTTTTAAATGAATGAATCTCCTGCCTTAAGATTATTTTTTTCTCTTTTTCCTATCTTTGATGACTTAAGAAACTTATTGACTGCAGACATTCATCGCCTGATGACTTAAGTTTGTGGCCTTAATTTAATGAGGCCCCCACACAGAGAAGCTCAATTTTAAAGCTGAGATGAGCAGCAAAAATCATTGATAATGTCAAGCAGAGCAAAGCTTTTTTTCTGACTCATCATTGTGGTTGCAGAAAGCATCTGCTGAGATAGCTTGATAAAAATGTACTAGTGTTCCTGATGTTGCAGTAAACGATGACGATTATATCTTCGCAAGTGTAGGAAATTATCACAATGTTAACGCAACCTCTGGAGATGATCAGATAGTTCCATTCTCAGGCACACTTCTTGTAGCAACTGGTAAACTAGCATTGAAATGAAATATTTTGACTTGTAAATTACTTTTTGGTAGGACCTCCTGTACCCCATCTAACTAAAGGGAAAGGAGTGTTCCATACCCACTAGTGTGGAGTTCCGGCCAAGGGTTGCCAAACAACCTTACTACGCCACTGCCTGTTGTTACTGTAATGGTGCCCTGCATGTTGACAGGAGAATGCTTGTCTGGAGGAGAGGGTGGCAGTGCTGCATCAGAAGGAGGAGGAGATGCAATCTTTACAAGAGGAACTCTCCACATTAGAGGAGATCAGGTGAGCAACATGAGCTAACTTGGAACTATGATTAAATCCAGGTTCACTCTTAATGCAATTCTATGTCAGACTCCTGTTGCGCCCCAGGAACTGATTTAAATTTGACCACTATCATTATTCAAGTTCATTATTGACAATGGAGTTTTGAGTACAGAGCTGTTACTACTAGATAAAGATTTATTTTTCTAATTCATAAATAGTTAATTTTTTGATTTTGTGTTTTTAGCGAATTTCCCTATAGGGAAGTAACTATTACCGTAGGTCTCATAATAAGACCTGGACCCGGGACCAATTTACTTTTTTGTTTTGAGGTCCCCAGAGGCCAAAAACACAATCCGTTCAAATTCATATATATACAGGGTGACACAAAGGAAACAGACTTTTTTTTAAATAAGTAGTACACAGTAGTTAAAGGAATAAAATTGTTTTAATATGGTACATAGTGAGGTAAACATTTGCCATTTGTTATAAAACAGTAATTTTTAAAAAAATTACGCCATGCCGGATGGTGGCCATGTACTTCTCTATAAATGTTCATTCTGGTCTGAAAATAATCTGAAACTGTCAGGAGGTCTTGTTCAATGCCATTGATATCTTCTGTGATTGCCAACTTCAAATCCTCTAGAGTGTGTGGTTCGTGAGCATAAACACGCTCCTTAAGAAAAAAAACCCCAAAGGAAGTAATCACAGCTGGACAAGTCAGGTGACCTTGGCGTCCACGGTATGTCAATGTCACCAAAGCGAGAAATCAGCTTGTTACGAAACATTTGCCTCAAGACTCTCATTGATTGGTCTGCAGTGTGGGCTGTAGCACCGTCCTGTTGAAAATAAACCCTTCTTCCCGCACTAACTGTATTTTATAAGGATGAAACTTAAGATCTTTCCAAAGAATTCCCCTTACCGATTCGCAGTTCATGTTCAACTCTTGAGCATGTTTTCGGCAGACCTGCTTGGACTCTTTATCAATGCTGCTCTCACTCTGGCGATGTTTTCAGGTGTTCTCGAAGTTCTAACAAGGCCTATTGGTTTCTTTCTCGTTATATTCCCAGTTTTTGGGAACCCTGAAACCCATCTTAATAGCGTATTTTGGCTTGGAACAGTTCCATGGCGTTCAATATTAATTGACAGAATTCCCGCTGGGTTTTGACGACGGATTCACCATTTTAGACAAAAGTATCGTATGCGAAAACGCGATGGTCTAGGGTCCACTGAGCCATTTCAACAAAAATGACAAGCCTCACTGAAGGTAAATGACATAACCTAAATCTTCCTACCACATGCGACAACAATGGAACAGCTGTTTAAAATACGTCCGGTTCCTTTGTGTCACCCTGTATATACATATATATATATATATATGTATTCCTTAGCACAATAACTCGAGCAAAAATGATCCGATTTTGATGAAATTTGGTACAAACGTGTTAACCTACATTTACCTATTCAAACGAGTTCGCATACAGCGGATGATCGGACTATGAGAACAGGGGTTTATGGGGGGTTTTATGGGGTAAAAATGGGTTTTTCTCATTTTCACCCTGTAAACATAAAATTTTGCAATTTATTTTCAAACCATTTTGTTTGAGCTGAAAAAACCAAATAAATCCAAAAAAGTGTAAATTAAAAATTTCCATGTTATTCTTATGGAGAATAAATATAGGCTACTGTTGTAGCTTGCTTGTCTATGGACATATTTTTATGAAATTTTGAAATTTTGTTTACTTCATACTAAGCTATCAATATTTCAATAAAAAAACCCCGTATTTTCTTCCCTGTGGCAGAAAACCTAAGTACTCATTAAAATTGATGATATTTAAATAGGAAATAAGTCTGACAATTTTAGGAGAATAATTTGGTGGCATTCCAGCCAGGTAGATGGAAATTTCCTTAGTCTGCAGGTTTGCTGCGGCGGGGGTATTTATTGTATATCTTTCAATATATTATTATCTTTTACCAATAACAAACAACAACAAAAAAGTGCCTACAAGTTTTCCTCTAGGCTAGAGTAAAAAGAAGGATACAGGTGTTGTGTTGTAGGCCTATGTTGTCACTGGCCCTCCCAATAGCCAAGCCACACATTAGTAAGTAATATGTATTGTATTTCACAAATATGGGAATAGAACCAGTTCATGCAGATAAAACATGAAGGTACACTTGTCTGTAAAACACATTAGTCAATTTAGCTACCATGTCACCTCAGTGGTGATAGCTGATGAGCTTGCCTCAAGTCCATATTTCCGCCTAGTCTGGCAGATTTTAGAGGGCAACAAAATTTTGGAAGGTAAATAATCAAAATAATGATTTCAATAAAAAAAATATTGAACGATTAATTTTGAGAACTGCCAAAATGCTATTTACAATACTTTGTTGAGTATATAATCATTTCAGAACACATTTAAAGTCAATCATCTATTATGCGGCTGTGCCGTGTTTTCCGTGCTGGCTGTTGGTCTGGCGAACACGTCGCAGTTGCGGGTGTGGAAACCTAAGGCTTTTGAAAGTAATTAGAGAAGAATCAGTTTTTCCAAATGTAGATATAGCAATGCAACAACGCTGCATTCCATGCATCCAAAACAGAATTCCATTTGCATAAAAAACAAGGAAAAAAGTCATTAAAAAGGGGTGTAAATGTTATTAGTTTTTTGATGCAGCATGCAATTAATTGCCGATTACTTTTCTACAAAATCAGCTGACATAGCATGTATTGGATAATATTAGTGAGGTTGGGGAGCGCGCTAACAAGTGTTGGAGGGAGGGGTGGCTAACTTCGCTGCCTAGAGGTGGCAGATCCAGTACTTAAATACGTCCCTGGCTTGCCTCCCAGTCCTGCCAAAAAATGAAAAAAAGTACAATTTATTTTTTTAATGTAGCATCTCACTCCTTGCTTTGCTACATGCAAAGGATTTGAGGTTCATGTGGAAGGGCTCAAAGCTAAACAAGGCTGCAAAATCAATGATCATAAGAGTAAAGAAGAGTGCTGAGCTGGTTTTATGTGGAATTATGTCTATGTACTTCAATTCTCTTTATTTGAACTTGGCAACACCATGTCATGAGATATAGGGCTTGGAGACCAAGTTAGCCAGAGTTATGATGTAGCTTGTCTTTACAAGAGTATTACTTACTTTCTGTATCCGGAAATCAGACTTCACTTTTCCAAAAATTAGCTACCGATATGGCTTTGTCATTCGCTTGTAAAAGATCATCTAATGTGCAAGACTGGTCCAGGCGTAAACAGATCAGCAGATGGCAAGGATCCTGAACAGCACGACACGCTCACAAGATGTTTTCTTCGTCTGGTAAGAGACCCGATTTCTGCATGTTTGTCTTGCATTTTGGTACCTCGACCCTGATTCGATTTAGGGTATTCCACACCGTGTAATGAAGGCCTTCACCAGGAGCTAGTTCCTCCCTGGCTGGTATGGGAGGGTTAGTCAACGTGGCCTCCCACCTTGCCACCATTGCTTGAGAGTTATCCATCTAGGACTCGTGTCCGTGATAAAAAGCTCTTTCTAGACCGAAGCCGTCGCTCTGCAGGTTGGTGGCCGTGTAATGGGTGACGAGGGTCTGTCTCTTGCTTAGTCCTTTCTGGGTCAGCAGCGACATCACGTCGGATTGATGGAAGGGCGATCCCTACGATAGGATAGAGTTTGTGAGTTGGTTTCAAACACCCAGTTACAATCCGAGCCATGTCATTGACTGCAATGTCAACCTTTTTTGCATGTGACGATGCATTCCATACTGGTGCAGCGTACTCCGCAGCCGACACACTGAGCGCTAAAGCAAGAGTATTAATAATTGTTGTAATGATAAAAAATTATGATCTCATCAAAATGTGTTAATTTCAGGCAAGGACACCTCTGTCGCCGCTGCCTGAGAGGCCAGGATGCTGGGACTCTGACGGCTGATGAAGATGATGATGACATCAGTGTAATTGACTCACTTGTTGATGAGAGTCAACGCAAGTCCGTCCTGATGCAGCTGCAGGTGTGTGTAACCAGAGAAAGAACCTAAAAGATCAATATGAAATACAATTTTAGAAGGACTTTTGGATATTTTCTTAGTTACTAATCAATTTATAGTGTTTGCTAATTTTTAAAGCATTTTATAAATTCCCAGAAACAGACTTATTAGGGTTAGATTAGAACCCATTAATAAAAATCATCTGCATCGCAAATCTTTGCATTCGATCCCATTCTGTGTTTCAATGTGAAAGTGTTCATAATTTTTCCTATTTGAATCACCCTGCTACTGAATAATTTGTTTTTGTAACATCACATGCTATTTAGGTAAAATTAGTTCATCATCTTGCCAATCTGCCTCTTGCTTGGCCTTTTTTCACCAACCCATTAACACAGGAATATTTTAATATCTCTTTTAATTTTATATCTGTTTTTATGTTTTTTATCAGATATATTTCAACACAAAAAGTTCATTTTCAATAAAAAAATAAAAAGAAAGAAACGTTTCTTCCCCTTCTACAATAATGTAAAAAGAAGCAACACAGGTGTCTTGTGCATCCCTATTAAACTCACTAATGCCATAAAAATCCACCAAAGTCAGTTTGTAAGGTGGGCCCAGCTAAGTCAAACTTCAGTAACCTTAAAGTGGATTACACATATATGGGATTCGAACCCAAACGTAGAAAGACCTCAATGCTACTTTCGTTGGCCTTAGCCAACTGAGCGACTTGTATGCCTCCATCGGCCGACCAGAAAGAGTGAAACTATAAGCACACATCATCACTAGCCTTTGCAGATTAGATTCAACCAATTACTTAAGCACCAGTGGGTTAGCAGTTGGAGGACCTTGCCTCCAAGGCCCCTAATGGTGGACATGGCAGTTGCTGGGGGCCTCTGGCTGGAAAGGACCTCAAAGTCCCTTACTTGGGACCTCAAAATATATATTTTTTTTTGGTAAAAAGAAATTTTTCCAATAATTTGTTAGAGTTAGAGAGAAAAATTTTCAAGCTAAGCTTATATTCTCATGATCGCTAAAAGGGTCTGCGAAAAAGGCTCGATCAAAAGTCACGTTTTCACAGCGATCCCGGGTGAAGTATACAAGTCTCTGGGGCCGCAAAAGATGTTCATAATTTCTCCGATACCTCAGAGACGTTTATGATTTCACCGTGACCGTGGGAGACGAAGATGATGTCCCTGAAAACGCGAAAGATGATGGGGATTTTTCCATGATCGTGAGAGACGGTAATGTCTTTGCAATGGCGCAAGATATTCACAATTTTTCTCACACGTAAGAGAATGTCATGATACCTCTGTAATGTGGAAGTTGTTCAAAATTTCGTTATGATTGCAGAAGACATAGAGTACCTAAGTCACTGTGAAAGCCTTTGACTTCTTCACAACCGCAAGAAAACGAAGTTGATGACACCGCAAACGATGTCTGGAACATGTTTACAAATTTTTCATTTGTCTCCGCAATCGCAAAAGAAAATCAAATGTCACTGTGAAATCGTGAACTTCTATGACGTAACAATTTTGTTGTGACCAAGACAAATTTTGGTTATTTTAAATTTAGTTTTATGTTCCTGATTTTGCCACTCTTTCACAAGGCCTGATTATAGTACAATAATAAATATTTTTAAATCAATACTTTCCAAAACAAATTGATTTTCACCTGACCTGATTTTGGCCCAAGGCCTGAAGTCCAACATTTTTTACCTGACCCGAAGTAAACAAGTCTGGCCCACTTACCCCCAATATTATTATTGAAAAATAAAACTGAACTATTTACTAGCTAGTGCCCTAGCCTTCTAGGTCCATTTCCTGATCTGATCGTCGAAAACAATGGGTCATGTTTATCCAGTTAAATCATCATAGAGAAGCCTCTCTTTCGTGAGCCGCCGTGGGCCACATCAATTCTAAGTATGACTCTGTGGTAACCTTCTACTCTATATCAATGGGTTGATAAAACAACCTGGTATGACATAACCTGCCATTTTCTTTAGTTTGCCTCAGATTGACTTTATGTACCTTTTCCTTCAAAATTTTAAGTAAAATTTCTTTTATTCTTAAACCATCTCAACCTGTCTAAGCTGGTTTATGTTTTATACATAAATTCCACCTTTTTTAAACCTTATTGAACTGTTTTTGTGCCATGTAATTTGTTCCTGTACTTTTTGTTAACATGTTCGCTACCACAATAGTACAAAATTTCATTCATATGGACCAGTATATGCGAAGACCGGTTTCTACCCATAGACTGCTCTCGCATATATGCGACGGCTGGTCACATTAAGATGGACTGAAGTCGCATGTTTGCGTTAGTGTCCAATGTTATTAAAAAGTTTATATCTTCGTATCGCTCTGTTTGAAGGCCCTGAATTCCCTGCGGATTCTACAGATTCTACGGATGTCTTTCACATATGTGCATCATATTAGTGACATCATATGATAGTTGGAAAAACTGTTTTATAGTTTGCTACATGCCGGTGGCCTGCATGTGCTGGGCTGTGAACAAAGGGACACCTGGTCTAGATGTATAATATTAAAATGTATACCCCCGTCCGTGGCAATGATGGCAGGGTCAAATATATGTAGCGATATGTAGCGAACGTGTTAAATAGAAATTTTATTTATGGCACTTCATTCCCTCAGTTTGAGAGTTACTTATTATATATCAACTACAATAGTACCCAATCCTAATCATAGTTGAAGAATACTTAATTTAATTTGTATACAGATCAATATTTATTTATTCAACAATTGTTCAACTATTAAAATAATAAATAATAATAAAAATCCGAGGCATGTTTTGTAAGTAAGTACCGTTTAAAATGTCTCTGTTCCAGCGCTGTGATTGGCAATTTTGACATTTGTGCTGTGTATATGCATCTATTGGCAAGCCTGCGCCGGAAATTCGGCAACAATCGGTCATGTTTACATCCGGTTTCGAGCATTCAAAATGGTGTCACCAAATGAGACTGTCGCCGACTGTGAAGTGCACGCTGCAGTTAGATTTTTAAGTGCTAAAGGTGTGAAAGCCATTTAAATTCATCAACAGATTAATGAAGAGTTTAGTGAGAACATTGTGATTGACGGAATGGTACACAAGTGGGTATAAGGGTATTTAAAGACGGCCGCACCAATGTTCATGATGAGCAACGCACTGGGCGGCCGCCGGCCTACTGTGATTACTGATGAATTGGTGCGTTGCTTATCATGAACTCTGGTGCGGCCGTCTTTAAATGCCGTTACCCACTTGGGTACCGTTCCGTCACTCACAAAGTCCTTGCCATACACTTCACTAATCTGTGGATGAATTTCAATGGTTTTCACACCTTTTAGCATTTAAAGATCGAACTTCACAGGCGGCGGCAGTCTCAATTGGCGGCACAATTTCGAATGCTCGAAACCGGATGTAAACACGGCCGATTTGTTGCCTAATTTCCGGCGCAGGCTTGCCAATAGATGCACATACACAGTACAAATGTCAAAAATGCCAATTGCAGTGCTGGAACAGAGAAATTTAAAAACGGTACTTACTTAAAAAACATGCCTCGTAGTAAATACAACTATCGACTGAATATACCCATTTTTTTCAACTTGTGCAGGTATACTATAAACTATACTATGATACATGTACATATACTGCTGTTGCATCGCTTCCCAGCACTGTACATAGTTTATCAACATTCCTGGCCTGATCTGGTTATCTGTTGTTAGGAGGGGGGTAATTTTTGGTGGTGTTTGTGGATGATGGTCTCTCAGCCGAAACTTTTCCTCCTGTTACTCTTCACTGTGATGATTCATATGAAAGACAGTTATATTGTGCCTGCTCTGATGTTGCCGGTCACATTGCCTATGTCAATTCTCAGATGTGTGTTACCCAGAAGTGTCAAATGGCGTTGTGCCTGATGAAGGTTAGTTGACCTCTGATTGGTTTTCACTTCCGCTTTTACACCCTGTAAACACTCCGTAATGTTTTAACATTGGTTTGTTCTGATCTGCTTTCATATTTGTGTGCTGTGAGGGGTGTCACTTGTCATGTCAACCCAGTTTTTGAGTGGTGTGTTTTACTACCTGACCATGTTAGCTTCATCTACCAAATTGTTGATCATCAATTGATTTAAGTCGTTCATTGTGTTAATTTGATTAACTGGGCTTTATATATTGCTAACAGCGACAATTAACTGTGCATTTCTCATATCCATAGTCATCATCATGGAACAACCATTTAACATTTTTTTCATCCATCATTCACAAAAATATCCTGTATTTTGTGGTTGTTTGTTGATATTGTAATATTTATTTACTTAATTATAGTTTTACTTTTGTTTTATTTTTCATTGATTAACTGAACTTAACCATATTACAAAATTTACCATGGCATCTGATACCTACATTTTGTGGTTTATGATTTTAAAATACGCTTTTCAATACAAAATGTGGATGTAAAAAGTGGAAAAGAAGTTTACTATAGTCATAATCAAAACACAATTGGTGAATGTAACCTTTCAGTTGTCAAATAAAGACGCACACTCTAACCCTTATCACACCAGTATCACAAGGCTGAGAAATTTAATTCCTCCGATCATAATCTGCATTAATCAAGCAAGAGTTTCATAAATACAACTCTAAAACACCCCCTATACGTATACTAGGTTTATTTTAACACACATTGTTATGTTGTCTTCAGACACCTCCATGTAGAATGATTTATCAACAGTTTGACCTGTTAGCCCACATGAAAGAGTGAGTTTTAAGTGCATGTAAAGCTCAGTTTGAGATGTATAGGGTGACATTCTTTTCTAGATGGTCATTTGTCTCAGCTGATTTCGCTTCTTTGATTTATGAAGAAGAGTAATAAGACATAACGTAAATATTCTGTGTCTAGTGTAAATGTTGTCGGTATTGAGGATTATAAAACAGAGAATACCGACATAGCTCTGGTGCTCGAATCACACTAGATTTTTAGCTGAAACGTATTTTTTCTTGAATTGTTTACTGATATACCGGGTTAACTATAAGTGGCATAGTCTCTAGTTTATTAGACAGTAAAAGGTGAATCTTTTATTAACACTTGCATCTCTTTCATACTTAACATTCACCTTTCAACATCTATAATGGTCACTAGCTCAAGAGGACCAACTTATAGCTTGATGACAATACAAAATGTTACATTTTAATATGAATAAGGCCTACATTTATTTTTACCACAACTCAGATAAAAATGTAATTGTATTAACAATAACAATGTAATTGTAATTGTATTGTAATTGTAATGTATGTAATTGTATTAGTGTAATTGTAATTGGTTACAGGAGTCGCTGGGAGACAGTTGCCATGGAGATAACCCCTATCGAGATCTGGTGGAGAAATACGAAGCACTACTAAAGGTTCAAAGACATCCAGGGGTGATCAGGCCCCCGCAGACTGTGTCTAGCAACAACTGTCTGTCCCTGCAAGAGGAGCTGCAACTGTCTGGGGACTTCTTCCAGAAGGAGGAGATTGATAGCGAGGGAGAGACACGTGAACTACCAAAGAAAGATCCTGTCAAAATTACACCAAACGGAAAAGCCTTCTCGGCAACCCCAACAGACTTCTCTGAAGCAGAAACATCTTCCTCAGGCTTTTCAGATGAAACTAGCAACAAAGGAACACAGACTGATGCTCATTTCCCCCCGGGTTCGTTCCTCTGTACCATCAGTGATGGAGATGACTGTAGGTTCAGCATATATGATGATGCCAGTCCAGTCGAGAGTAGGTTTAGAAAGACTCCGGAATACCGTCAGTTGTTTAGGGAAATATTTGCTGTCTTGAAAAGAGCTGCAGAAGCTAAAGATGAAGGTGAGAAATTACCATTGCTGGACGATTTCACTCCTGTTGCCGAAGAAGCGCCTAAAGTTCCCCCTGTAACACCAGCAAAAGAAGATTTCCCCTCTAGGATTCCTGACCCAGAAGAAGAAATGTCTCAGTTCACGGAAGACCAGTCTGATATTGTTAGTCTTGATCCCCCTGAGTCTGTAAGCTCTTCTTTCGCAGCCGGCTCTGATCTTCCTTGCGGATCAACACCCAAAGTCAACAGAAATGATGCACCTCTTCCCTGTGATGAAAGTGCTATAATTCAGTCCCCTGAACAAGGCCCATCTTCATCGACTGAAGAAAGGAAAAAGCCCACTAGAGATTATATGGAATGCTTATCATCTGGTGTCGGTCCCAAGAAGAAGTCATCAAAGAAGAAATCTGTCATTACTGTTGAATCAGCCCAAGTACTAGGAATCACAGCAAAAATTGTCCATTCCAGCAAAGTTACCAGAAGAAAGAAGGAAGTAAGGATGAATGAAAGTGTAAATAAAACGGCAGATAGAGTTACTTGGTGTGTCAGCGACAATGATGTAGTAAATAGAGTGAACAGCGAAAAAAGTGAAACACAGAGGCACAGTTCTGCTTGGGACAGCCATTTTACCAAGGCTGCTACACAGGTTGCGACCTTGAAACTGCTGGATAAGTCATATGCGGAAGTATTGCGTCAATCTGGCAGAAAGAAGTCCCACTCCCGGGGACATAACTCTCACAGAAATTAGGTTTAAGGAATTCAAATCATTCCTTGTGTGATTTTAATGACAATATTATTGATTTTACTAAAATTTGAAATTAAGTTTCACAAAATAATAGAATTGACAAAGAAATAAGACTTGGATAATATGACCTCAAAAAGAAAATTTTTGGATGACAATGTTAAAGGCATTTCATCAAGCTCTACTTAAAAAAATTAAAAACTATCTATTCATGCAATTCATAATTTTTTATCCCATTAATTACAAACAACGAGTTGTTAATTAGTGTTAAAACCATAAAAAAGCAAATTTAATTAATGATTAACTAAAGATATCTAAGGTAAAAATATGATAAGCTTATTAATTTACTTATTATATTTTATATACCTTGTCCTTAATATATGTTATAAGAGTACTCCTAAGTCTTATGAAAAATACAGTTACATCTTTAAAGCTTATTGTAAAATACTCCATAATTTATTGATAAAAAGCTATAAATGATAAATGAATGTATCTTGCATACCGTATTGTAATAAATAATTGTTAAATCTCTCTTTCAATATCATTCTTTTTTTACACACTGTGTGTACATTCATTGCATATTTATTTACTTAGTAATACGATAAGTTTTTTTTTAACTTAGTTGCATAATGATAGTATTTTGAAAGGCAGACGCTGATCATGCCAGACTGCCTAATGTGCCATCATTGTATAAGGTTTGTAACTAGTGTATATTCTTCATCGGTTGTCATAGGTTCTTTTATTTTCTAAAGCACATCGATTGTCTATTAGAAAGGCATCGGACCAATCTTCTGGTATAGTAGTTTTACCTTTATACCCTTAGCAGTGTTGTATTATATTTTATAACTTATGTTTTAGTTTTTGTGATATTTTCTGTATATTATTTTATTTCCCATTCTGTTGTGAATAAATTGGATGTAGATTATTTCATAATGGGTTTGTATATCTCTCACCTATGTTCTGTTTGCTATTCACACTTTGTGAACCCTAACAACCTTCATAAAAGAATGGTAACACATACTTTATCACGTTTCCTACCAATCATCGATAGCCAATGCTAGGCTCTTCCATTGAACCCAGTTGGCTGGAGTTTAAACTTAGCATATGAATATGTATACATTAAATATCACTTGCTCCAGCCCCTTTAAAGCCAGCCTCTTTAAATGGAGTGTAAAGAGCGATTAATAAATCCTTGAGTTGTAGAAACGTTTGGTTTGGATGCCAGTACTGGATGCCTGTCAAGAGCTATGAATTAAATGCCATAGAGACATTTTATATACTATTAATTTTAAATTGCTTACTAAATCATAAAAATATAGGAGCATAACAATTTTAATCAAGGAGTTAGTGTATTAATTTTTAAAAATTATCACACATTTTGGCATCAATGAAAGATTTGAAATCTTTCATAACAGATATAGATAAACTCTAATATTGTTTCTGATGCTAGACCAGGGTTCACAATGCTGTACTCGCTTACACTAGTTAAAACCCACCAGTACATGGACATGTGTACCACAAATTGAGCTTAGGTACTAGGGGGTTGAGGGTTGCTTATTAAGAACAAAGAATCCAACAAGCAAGTGTGAAGTGCAGGGGAACAAAAATGGCTATGACAAATTGGTATTACCATTGACTAGGTATATATAGTCAATGGTAATACACAAAATCTGTTTGCAAGTACCACTCACCAGAATAAACACAGGAAGCTTATTCTCTAAATAAATCACCCTACCATGCTAAGTTGAAAAACCCCATTCCTATGATAAAAAAAAATTGTTTCAATGAAAAAATTAATTAAGGTAGTATGTCTGAACTGATTAATATTAATTTTTGATCAGCACTACAAACCACAGGTGCCAGTATGCCTATTGCCTATATTGGGACTAATTAGTCTATATTAATAGTTTCTTTAATGGGGATGGTTGTAAATCAATTGTATAGGGTGCAAGAAATCAGGATACCAAAGGACCTTACTGCAAATGCTTGAAATAGTTGTTTTCTTCTCTTCAGATAATTAATTTATTGTTTATCATTGACAGACAGATCAAAAGTGCAATCTAATTGACTTTCATATTGTAAATTTTTAATTACTTTTCCCACGTAGTATTTGTTTAGAAAATCTAATCTCGTCAATAAATTGGTTGTATTTTGAAACTGACATTACAGAATAAGATTTATCCAATAAGTCTGAATGTGGTTAAGTATAGACTGTAGAACTGACTCGAGGGATGAGACATTGTGGGATCTGCTACAATGGAGGAGATTAAAGCGACTTATTGTTTAAATGTGCTTGTCAGGAAGGGGAAGTGAATCCTTTCATGGATATAATCTAAACGGATGACAAGGATCACAATAAGATCTGTAAAGATCTTTTCAAGCTGTAAATCATTGATGTATACTGAAGTTGACTTTAAAACAGTTCCTTCCCTTTTTGGGTAAAGCATTATAAATTATTTATACAATTAATTAATTATGCATCTATACACTTACAATAAAGCAAACAATGTGTATTGAAAATTTGATTAAAAACTCTTTTTTCAGTGAATTTTTTTGTTCTAGTCCGGTATTGTTTTTCACATTAATTCAGGCTAGACCTAGGGGTTGTGGCATTATCACTTAGATAAAAGCCATTGGTGAATTGGCGGGATTTGAACCCGGGACCTCTTGGACCGAAGTCCCGAGCTCTAACCTAGACTAGCTTGCTCCCCTTTCAGTGCATATTAACTTGTGTAAGCTCTACTTAAAATGCCTGACTTATGGCGAACTTCCAAATAATACCAGAGTAATTTCAATAATTATTTACAATATAGATTTTTTATGAATAAACATTAAAGGAAGAAAGTGGTCCAGTGTGCTCTCTTTTTTATTTAAATATTTTACTTACTGTATAATGTATATAATCTGGATTTTTACTATTACTACCCTAGTCTATTTTAAACTGGTATAATACATAGAAGGATTACTTGTTTGATGTCATTAACATTTTGATAGTACAAATACAAATGATATGCAGTACACTCAACCAAGATTCATTATGTGTAAGAGTAATCTTTTAATGTACAGTTTGTGATTTATTGTTCATGGAATAAGAATAAAATTTGCTTGGTTAAACGTTTCTTTTAAAACGGCTCTAACCAATTTTCCATAATTGTTACAAACGGCCAACGGATAAAGTCAGTTAAACATCAGATAGGAAAATATAACTTTGTTAAAAGGTAATAAAAATGTAATAAAAAAATTAACTGTTGCTTTAACACTGCCTTTAAGGCTGAGAAAATTAAAACACACTAATAGAGTCAGCCATAGGCATGTACTGAGAGGACTTAGGACCTATAGTACTTAGAACTTATTTTTGTACAGCTCTTTTATAGGTATCAGCAATTTCTGACACACGGGCAAGAATGGGAGTAACTAAGATAGAAAAAATTGTAATAACCATTGAACCGTAATTTTTACAGTGTTGCTGGTTGTATAAAATTAGATTTGCCTTACATGACACAACAAATTTTAATTCAGAATAGTTTAAACAGTTTTAGTGAAAATCAGATTATTCCATTATTTATGATTTTTTATTTAAAATAACTATGGTATTAAAAAAAAAATTAAACTCTGGAGGTACAGTACCATTAATTAGTAGGGTGGTACCTACATACCAAATGTAATAAAAATCGGACCACAGGTGTAGTTATTAGCTCTGTTCACACACACTAACAAAGACATCACCTCTAAAGCCACTGTTTTGGGTCCAGGGGGACCCAAAACCAAAACTTCCAAACAAAACTCAAACTCCAAAGTTTTGACAATAACAATACTTTCTTCATACACTAGGTAGCCTATAACTTATGGAGAGAAAGTGATAAAAATGTAATAAAAATAATTGGTGAAATATTTGAGAACAAGTTCATTCAAACAACAAAGTCCTACTTTAATATTATTATTGTTATTGTTTGGGATACAATGAAATTTGAAAAAAATGTTAATCAGTTATACATTTAAGTTTTAATTGATAGCTTTTACAATTAATGACTGAACTGCATTAATATACAAAGACCGGGATTATTACTGAGAAGTGGTAAGGTCGATAAAGGCTCTGTAATTTCTGACCAAGCAGTAAAGAAGGTTTAGGCTGGAGATGTATGGGATCATTGAATGTGTGGTGCTAAATACTGCTTATCTGGGGCAGTTTAGGATGGAAAATCCAATGCTTTTCTGAGTCAATCATGACTTTTTAAGATTTATAATTAATTCAGATCATTGTATTTATAGCTTATGAAACACTAATACTTTTATATTCATTTTTGACTTTTTATGATATATCCATGTTACAATACATGAATTAGTATGTAAATCGGTTATGTACAATAAAGTAATACTTTAGTAGGGCCTAAGTCCTGTTTGTAAACACGATCTTGCAACTCTCTCTGAATTCATTTTTTTGCAGTAAATGGTAAATGCATACATTTTATATACCATAAATAAATTTTTTGGTATAGTCATAGACTATATAATGTGGTGGTTACATAATTTACTTGCATAGATTAAACCACGCTAGATTTTTCATCTTTATGGATCACCTGAAGACAATTTTAATGTTTAGGTCCATCCTGTTCAAAACTAGTTAAACAAAAACTGTAAAATCAAACAGCTAGGCATTGACTCTAAAAAAAGAAAATAACTCTTGATATAACCAACATGAACGATGAACCAGACACAGATAAACAAGCTTTAGTGAGATGGCTATTTGTGTTAGTAAAGTTAGTCTATGATAGGTCGGTTGGATTAGTGAGGTTTTGAACTGTTTATCACTTGAAGGTCATGTCAAACAAGGTCATCACTATCCATGATGACTTGCAATATTGTACAGCATTGCCTTAATTTAGCTAAGAGAAGCATTTTTTTGTATGGAAGAATTTTCGTCCACATATTTATTTGGATTACACCTCTATAAACGTGTTAGGGAACTACATAATATCATCAATGTAAAGTTTAGAATAAAATATCGTCAATTTCAGACGATCAATTTACTCCAACTAAATGCATTAATACTGCAAGTATGAGGCTAGTGTCTAGAACAAGTGACTGGAGGATAACACCAATGAGAAGGCCTAATACTCAATGATAACACTTAGGTATACAATAAAACATTTTTGTTTCTACTCACCCTTTCTGCACTCATTAAGATAAATACCTCTTGAAGATGATAGATACTATACAGTTGCTTCAGTATCTATGCATATCTGAGCGAGTTGATGGCGCAGGCTGTGCTGATAGTTGAGGGAAGGCTTTCATAGCGAGGTTCATCGGTCTTCGTCATGTCGTCAATAGACGTTAAACAGCTTGTGAATGAGATCGCCGAGTCATCAAGAGCTGTAGTGTAGGCAAACATTGAAACTATCAGCTTTCACCAGCAACCTTTGGCTAGGATACATTTTAGTCTAACTATTGTTTATTTTATTTGTTCATTATAATTGATTATATATAGTTAAATCCACTATTGTAAAGGGTTCTAACACCTGCATAACAAAGCCTCTACGTACGGCGGTGCCCCGTAAGTAAGTACATACACTTTAGGAATAACCTTCATAGATCGAACTAAAAACTAAATCTGGAATATTTTTCCAACAACGCCTTGTTAGTGGGTTGCAGTATTTGTAATTGTTCTTCAACTCTTATATCCTTATAAACTATTTAAAACATCTTAATGCAATCCGAGATATATTGGAGATAGCAATCAACCAATTTCGAAACAATAATCATTATTTTTTTTGTTTAACGGCGGCCATTTTCATTTCAGCTGTTAATTCTCTAAGCTTAAAATCTCCACATTAATTTGTTGATGCTCACAGCGTGGGGGTACTACTATTATGAATATCATTACATGAAAAGGTAATGTTAGCAATCTTGCAAGTCACTTAAGTATCGTGTGAAAA